ATAACCCAGCAAGGGCTTTCTCAAGCACCAACATCTTACTTATGCCGTTTTATTATACTAACCAGAATCCACAAAAACAATATAAGAAAATTATAACAAATATAAGTTGACTTGACAAAAGCTTAAAGATCAAGAAACACAAACTCCTCAATGGCTGGCACTTCCCCAATCTTCCTGAGCGTATCCTTATCGGGCTCCTCATCCACCCCTATGGCCATAATCGCCTTTGTCCTCTTCACCACCCTCCCCACACTCATGAAGCTCACGTTCACATTACTCTCCGCAAGAATACTCCCAACACGCCCAATCATCCCAGGCTGGTCCACCTGGCGGCACAGTATAACGTTCCCTTCCAAACTCACGTCCACGCTGAACGGGCCCACGCGGGTCAGGTGCGGGTCCCCATATTTCACTTTCCCCTCGATGCTAATATTTCCGTTCTCCAATAAGGCGCTTGCGAATTTTGATTTGACACTGCTGATCTGGACCTGGATGGATTGAATTGGGCTTTCGGTAGACGAGTCGGATAAAGCCCGCTCCTCGCTTATGCGGATGCCTTTCTGCTTGGCAGTGAAGTCGGCATTGACGAGGTTGATGTGAGCATCCGAGATGGGCTCGATTAGGCCTTTTGTGATCATGGCCCGCAAGAGGCGGGTGTCCAGGCTGTCAGGGTCTCGGGCCGAGCGGTAGATAACTTTCACCGTTTGGATCCCACTCCCTCCCGTGACCAGCTGCACAGCTATCCGACCGAGCTTCTCGGCTAGGGTGACGTAAGGAGCCAGCTCGGATAAGACCTGGTAATATTACAAAAGTACCCCTAAGCTCGGACAATGTATATCTATTTCTATTTTTCTTTGTAATTTAAGCTAAACTTCTCAGGGGTGTGTGGTTTATGTAATAATTATACTTGTTGACGGATTTTTATTACCTCGGGAGGGACCATGGGAGCATTCACTGCAGTTGCCGAGAGTTCGCCTCTCAGGGCACCAACAACTGCCTCGGCTATTTCAACTGCAACTCCTTCCTGTTCGTAACAAAGATCACGCATATTAATGCAATGAGAGATATGAGGGGAATGTATTAAAATAAATAGACTCATAAAACTGATATGATGGCAAGTTGAGTTCATATTCATACCTGTGCTTCCTTTGTGCTGGCTCCAAGATGAGGTGTAACAGTGACATTCTCATGCTGAACTAATTTGCTGTCTTTCGGTGGGGGCTCCTCTGAGAACACATCAAGGGCCGCCTACATATATATCAAGATGAACAATTCAAAGAATTAGAAAATGAAGAAACAGTTCAAAATTTCTCACCAGGTTCATAAAATGGTATGATTTTATTGAGCTTTGAAGAACATAAAATGATATTGTCTGTTCCAATTAAATCAATGTTAATTGGGCACCGCTCGTGTCATACAACATAGTAAAACCCAACATGACTGAGAACGGAGAAGAGAGAAAAACTACAAAAGGTCTGAAGATCGAGCTGATCTCTTATAGAATATGTTCCATGCTTCCAGCATAAATAATAATTCGAGAGAAAAGGAAAAAAAAAAAAAAAAAACCTGGGCTACTGTTCCATTGTCAAGTGCCCTCACTAGTGCATCTTCATCAATGACACCACCCCGAGCGACATTTATGATGCGCACTCCCTTCTTCATCTTAGCAAATGTCTCATCGTTTAATATCTTGTTAGTGGTTGGAGTAAGAGGCATGTGGAGAGAAATGAAGTCTGCTGTGGAGATTGCCTCGTCAAAAGACACTAAGTCCACACCAAGGGCACGTGCTCTATCGGCTGGAGCATAAGGGTCGTGAGCAATAACATTCATTCCAAGACCTTTCGCACGCCTAGCAACTTCAGAACCAACTTTTCCAAATCCCATGATGGCCAAAGTCTTGCCAATCATAGACACGCCAACGTACTTATTACGTTGCCATTTTCCTGTCCAAAGCATTTTAAGAATGATGAGTAAATGAACTCAATTCTTAAACCTAAGGAATATAATACTCTACCAATAAAAGAGTGTATCCCAAGACTTGTACTCCCCAATCCTATGCAGTGTATCCTTGTATATTATCTCATTAAAAAATCTCCAAGTTCGAATTGAAAATACGACTCTTCATGTAATATATTCTGTGTAAATATCTTCTTACGTTCTCTTTAACCATTTCATTCAAAATATGGTATTTTGTACATGCCCTACAATTGAATTTTGTAGACTCTTTGGCCCAATAAACAAGTTGAGTTATACTCCTGCCTCTCAAGGATTTACAATGGGCATATGGATATCAGAAATTGAAACTTCTCTTCTTGATATCGGGAAACTCTGCAATATCTACCATCTTCAACAAATGATTTGCCTAAGTCGAATCTGTACCTTGCTATCCCATAACACACTGTACATTTGATTAATCGAACAAAAATATGGAAACCAGCCCTACCGATTAGTTTCTATGACCATTAACATCTGATATTTTTACTAGTGTCCACTTTGGCCTTTATCTACCTGAGGTGAGTACAATATCTCCAGCGAAACAACTTTGAACTGTTAAAACTGACAGTGGGGCATAAGATACTAAGGGGAGATCCCATTGACAACAAGCAAAGGTCCAAAAACTGCAAATTGATGGTGTTCATATATATACTCTGTCAGTGTAGCAAAGGTACAATACAACTCTATTGATATATTCTAAGTAAAAGTTGACACAAATTGAACAACAAATAACAAAGAACAACTACATTCAACGGTCTACTTCGCCTCGTAATCGGATCCGCGTTGCTCGTTGCCCTCACAGGGAGCTTGTTAGCCTTCATTTTATATGATATTTAACTTCAATGGAAATAAATTAATATTGAAACTAAAAACAGACATGAAAATCGGAACTCAATCTATTAGCTGCCCCTGTCAATTTGGCCAACCAAATTCCGAATCTAAAGTCAAAACAACAAGGTTCATACAGTAATGGCATCATACCAGCTTTCATGGAAGCATCAGCCTGCGCGACATTCCTCGCCATGGCGGCCAACAGCGCGATCCCGTGCTCGGCGGCGGCAATCGTGTTCGCCGTCGGCGCGTTCACCACCAGGCATCCGAACTCCGTTGCCGCCTGCAAATCCACGTTGTCGATCCCGACGCCGGCACGCCCCACCACCTTCAGCCTCCCCTTGGCCGCCTCGAACACCTGGCGCGTCACCTTCGTCCCGCTCCGCACGATCAGCGCGTCGCACTCTGCGACCTTCGCGCACAGCTCCTCCGGAGACAGGCTGTAGAGGCACTCGACGTTTCCAAAGCTGCGCAGCAGATCGAGCCCGGCTTCACCAAGCTTCTCGGATACCAGGACCGTGGGTCTCGGAGATCCGGCGGCCAGATCCGGATCCGGTGACCTGGATGCCAGCTCCGATTGCTCGGCCGTCTTGAGAACATTTCGGATCACGGCGGCGCGTGGGGTAAGATTTGTGGGACCGGCGGTGAGGGACGCCTTCTGGAGGGAAATGGACGGGGCGGAGAAGGAGAGGTGGGCGGAGGAGGCGGTTGAACTTCTCCTCGGTGGCCGGCAAAGTTGATTTTGGGTTGTGAGCTTGGTTGAGGCGGATGAAATGGAGGTGGCAGCCATGGTTTTTTTGTCTCTTTCTCTGAGTACACTGTGTGTGTGTGGGTGTTATGCTTCAAAAGTTGTTGGGAGACTTTGGAGAAGAACAGTGGACCAGAGATTTTTGCGCATATGTTCTCTCGTTTGCCTCTCCTATGTATATGGAAATTTTTTCAACTTCTAGTTTTTTGTTAATTATTAATTAATATTTTTTTTGGTAGCCAGCTACGGTATTCGGAGCTATGCCCTGTCTAATCTGTTGGTAGACTCGGGTCGCACACCTGGCAGTTGGGTGAGTCTCCCAACAAGGATTTTTTACATTCACAAGACTCGAACCCGAGATCTTGCTTAAACGGCATCAAACTGCTATTATTAATTAATATTTAAAAAATAGAGTAGTGTTCTGTTATGCCAGTTTAATCAATCATTAGATCTGTATGTATATTTTTTTTATTCACGAATATTTATACACTCATTAAAAAATGTCATGAGATCTGTATAATTTTTTTATTCCGGAATATTATACGCACATTAAAATTGTCATATATTCTATAGTAACCTAAACAAAAGTATAATATATTCATATCTATACATTCATAATAAATTGTCATGTTCTAAATAATAACATAAACAAAAGTATAAAATAATTTAAGCATGCAATATTGTTAATAGAGAGTGACGAATCTAACACTTGGTATGACATTTGATAATATAGATATGTAATATTATTCAAAAAGATTGATGAGTCGACCTAATTAATTGTTAGATTGCATTATACAAGAATTATTATCTTAGACATCTTAATCATTAGACGGGTCGACAACAGTTGTACACTTTAACCATTAGACACATTGACTTGTGTGTCATACATTTGTTTATGTTACTTTCGTCAGTGTGACATTTCGATTTGAAATTAGGTACTTATGTTGGAAAAGTATAATTGTATAACCATTAAAGACATTTAACGATAATAGTATGGTAAATATTATATATTTTTGAAATGTGGAATACTGCCATAACTCAACTAAATGACTATAATTAGTTGTTTATAATGTGTTGATATCAACTAAATGACTATAATTAAGTTGTTTATAATGTGTTGATATCGGACAAATTCGACCTTATTTGAGTGAGCAGTAACTCATGGGATTTTATCCGTTGGGTTCGCCTATATTTGTATGAATATATATGATTGTTTGTACGCCTATAAACGAGTCGAACCGAGTTCAAGTCGAGCCGAGCTCTACTCGTTAAATAAATGACCCACAAATCGAGTTCGAACACGACTCGTTTATCACTACTAACGAGTCGAGTTTGAGCCTTAACGACCCGATCTCGAGATTTAACGAGTCGAATTATAGAAAATTATATAAAATTTCTCTCTTTTCAAGTCTTAACAAGCTTCATCGAGCCAAACTGTTAACCAAACGAGCTTCAAATGAGCTCAATCTTGACTTGTTAAAGCCTCGAGCTCGAACCGAGCCCGAGTCAAAAACAGTTAATTTAATAGCAGTAATTGTATGCAATCGGACGGTTAAAGTCACGAGTACCCAAAAAAAAAAAAAAACAGAGTACCAATTATATTGAAATCATACTTGATGTTGATTTAGATATGATACTCCCTCCTATTCAAATTATATGTCGTTTTGACTTTTTTGATTCATCCATTTTGTTATGTATCTGGACATTAATATGTCTAGATACGTAACAAAATGGATGAATCAAAAAAGTCAAAACGACATTTATAATGAATAGGAGGTAGTATTACATAATGAGAGTAGGTGAGTGATTGTGAAATTTGAATTTACTATTATGAGGGAATTGATTGAAATTTGGACGCACGGTAGCAGTGGTTGGTGGAAATATGAATTTTATTTTATTTTATTTTATTATTTTTATTTTTGAGATTTTAGGTCTGTATTCAGTTGTTAAACTTTATATAGGCATCGAAGTTTAATCAATCAGTTTTGTTTTTTTATAATATTTTTTAATGCATGTATACATTTTAAACTATAAACTATCACATTATAATGAAAATATATACTAATACAATATAAGTGTACATATTTTATTAAAAAGTATAACGAATCATCACATCTAATGGTGTTAAATTTTCTAATACAACAATTGTGAACGAATTAGATAGCTAGAAATTTAGTTGATACTCCCTCCATTTCAAATTATAAGTCGTTTTGACTTTTTCAGTATATCCACTTTGCTGTGTATCTAGATAATAATATGTCTAGATACATAGCAAAATGAATGAATAAAAAAAGTCAAAACGACTTATAATTTGAAACGGAGGGAGTATCTTGTAAGCGAACTTAGCTGATCATTAATTAATATCGAGTTGATAGGTGATAATTTTAAAATAATAATTGAAAAATTAGCTGATATATTTTACAAATGTTAAGTTGAATTCATTGATAAGTTAACTTAAGCAACGAATTTTTAAAATAAAAAAAATATAACATTTTGATTACAATATCTTGAGATGAAACATCAAAGTTTCGCAATAACCATTGTCATGTGTGCAACTCGAGTACACCAACAAATTAATCGTGACAAAACTCCTAATACCGTGACTGAGTACCCAACAAAAAAATGTTTCACAATAACCGAGTGAACTTGGACTTGTTTTGTGCAATGGGTACAGTTCAATAGCCTTTACCCTGGCTACTCTATTGTTTTATTGCTCTACTAAAAAAAAGTGAAATGAAGCGAAAATGGCACACTTCACTTTCATGAAATCATATGGGACTTTATACCTTCATACATTGATGCATAATGCAAAATCTAGTGTGATTGTGAGTGGCAAACTATATAATTACACGTGTCGATTAGTCATATTTCATGGAAAAAGAAATGTTTATTTATACTGTTAAATGTTATACTTAATTATACTTATATTTGTTTTTGCTTTTATAAGTATGACATCATTTATAGTGGCTTTGAAACCTTTGGGTGGTTTCAAATGTTTGGAGATTAGAGACCTCGACTTTTTACCAAGTTGTTCTTCACTATTATGAATTTTCTAGTTTCTATGAATAGTGTTTATTACATTTCTTTTGGTTGTTATTGTTTTTCGTAGTGTTTTGAAGGGTAGCTATGGCCCTTGTTGGATTAGTGACTAGGCTTTTTTGGGGAACCAGTTTTAATCCATTTTGGACTAACTTTGGTGGGAAATAGATTCCAAACCCTGCTTTGGTCTTAGTCGTGGTCTCGGTGGCTACTCCATTTCCTATTCTAGTGTTAGTTGGCTTTATCAGATCAATCCTGGGGGATTGTGGTGTATCTGGTCAGTTGGCCTACGAACTCTTTACATATTATTCTGTGAGAAATATATCATGTCATTTTGAAAAAAAAAAAAAAAAAAAGTATGACATCTTTTAATAAAATTATACATACTTGTTGATGGGTCTGCTCTCAAATCTAGAGCGAACCGGTGGAAACGAGTCCAGATCTATCTAAATCACCTTCGAACCGTTGCTGAACCGCGAGAATACCTGCAAAAACTCGACGCCGCAGATGTTTCCGGCGTAGAGCCTCCGACGCTCAAGTAAGTATGTGAGAGATGAAGAGAAGCTGCTCTGAGGGAGCAGCAGCAGAAGAGGAGAGTATGGAATGAATGGAAGTTAGAGTTTTAGGGCTACCTCTTCTCCTTTATATAGGAGGGAACACTTACCTAAAATGCCCGGAATGCCCTGAGTCGATGGACCTAAAAGGTCCAAATTGCCCTAGTCGAATCGTCTCCTCTCCTTGTTGAGTCATAACAAGATTCTCTCTTATCCATTGGACAGGAGGTTCTCAGGAATCTGTCAAGTGTGTTGAGTCGTCAGCGCGTCTTACGTCTTTGAAACTCGCTGAGTCGACCTCGAGCCTGGAGGGATCGACTCAAGACCCTAATTATCCGGAGACTGCGCTCTTGTTGGTTCTCAAATAGATGTCGACCATTAGGAAGTCGACTGCATCAAGTCAACTTCTAGGGGTCGACTTGTAGAGGATCTGCCATTTCTTAGCCATTCTTATGAAGAGTCGACTCTAAGGAAGTCAACTTGTATGTGTTGATTGTCATACATCGACATGTGAGCGGCCTGAACGATCCCCCGACCGAGTAAAGGGATTTTTGGGCCGGTATACCAGAGTATGGCTATATTATTTGTGAAAAGAGTATGGTTGTTCAATTGTTAGGTCGATATAATACAACGCATACTGTATAATTAAAATACCATTTTTGTAAATCAATAGTTTATTAATTAATTATAGATTCTTGACGTTCGGGCGTCAACCACAGTAACTGGGCGTCTTGATTACAAATTTATAATAGGAACTTGAGTAACGATTTGTTGTTATAATGAAAGAGATTCAATAAATTAACGATATATGAGATAAACTGAAAACAAGAAAACGAAAATGAAATGACAAAGGAGTTTGACGATAGGGAGCGATCGGCAAGAAGAATAATAATGTATATGTGGATGTATTGTTTTTCAAAATTAGTTGTTTGTTTGAGCCTCTAGGGTTAAATTTAAAAATAAAAAAAGTACAAAATAATCATGACAAGAGGGCAGCTAAGGGTGTAGGAGAGTGACACGCGTTTTCATGTAAAACTCTTATTTGCTGGTGGGACTGGTTGGGCGGTCGTTTTAACGTTTTGATTTATCAGTTTTCATTTATATTGCACAGAGATCGACAGGATTCTAGGAGAAGAAATAGGGATAGATCGACGCCGAATGCGGATATGGATCAGCATGGTCTTGGTGGTCGAGTTTATTGAACTATTCTTTTCCATAATCTAGGCCCACTTATTGACGATTCTGGTCTTCGATTTTTATGATTGAAGAAAAACAAAACTAATACAATAAGCATATTTAGTAAAATCAACTAATAAATCAATCGAAATATTAAGTTTCAATTTATTTATTTGAATATAAAAGTGTGACTCCAACTGTTTTATAATCTTATATCATGTGTTACTCATTCGAATGGAATAAATTTATAAATTAATTAGTTAAATAAGGTAT